TACTCAGTTTCTCCTGTTCTAAACCCTAGTTGTGAACTTCACAAGCTCACGTGGCTGCAGATTTACAACCCAACACGCCGCTGCAGCAGCACCCCCACGTGGCCGGATTCAGCTTTAACTAAAAGAGGAGGAATGAGAGATGGTGAGCAGTTTCAAACGCGTATCAGTGTTTCTTGAACTCAATTCTTTCTACTTTCACATCGTCCTCAATTAGCTGGTATACATAAGTCACAACTGTGGAAGACTGGATATCCATCAGTACAAATGAAGGAATGACGTTCCTGGGGAAAAAAAAAAAGACATACTTTGTCAATCACCCTTTATAGCTTACACCTCTTACCAAGATGTCTTATGGAAATATATTACAAAACATTAAATTGTAAAGAGCTGTAGTCATCTGGGAAGTACCACAGCTCAGAGGCTGCAATTAGCCAGAGAGCCGTCAGGGCTGAATGCCCCAGCTTCTGGAAGGCTCAGATGCTGGCAGTGCCCTGAGGGGCTCCTTCCCAACAGAAGTTCAGCACACAGCTTCTGGAAAACACCTGGAGGCAATGCAACTCTAAGAAACAACAGCATCACAGTATGGGTTTAGGATTGTGACCATGACACATCAGTGCCAGGCTGTCCAGGCCAGCTCATGAGCTAATCAAAGCCTTATGAACAGTGGGAGCTAGGCTGCGTTCTTGGGGGAAGGGAAGAATGGCCTGCATGGCGCTGCATCTCACCAGTGCTCTGCAACACTTGGGCAGCACTCATAAGGGCAGATACACATCTGAGGTTCAAGGCTCATTGCACTCACGTTTCTAAAGCAGTGTAGGCTCCTGTAGCTGATCCCGGGTTGATGTAGAACTTATTTTCGTGCTCAAATGCTTCAAATCTGTGTGTGTGTCCTGAGATAAGAATGTCTACATCCAGCTGCCTCCGTAGCAATGCCAAGCTTGCGACATCCCCCCAGGGAATGACTTGATGGCCATGAATCAACCCAATTCTGAACTGCCCAACAGTCACAACCTTCTGTTCAGGATAATTCAGACTCTGAGAAAGAGAAATATACAAGTTAGAAATCAGACAGAGTACCTCACCAACACAATGAAGGTTCACAACACAAGTCTGCCTTTTACTACCAAGATTGTACAGTGATCCAGATGCTTGCACCATGTATTAAGAAGAGTAACTGCAGAGCAAAGAACTGGGATCTTGAGCCTGACTGGAACCACATGGAGAGCAGGAGCTTCAAGGCTATTCAACAGTAAAGAAGCTCTCTATTCCTGCAGCAATCTGAAGGACTGCAGCAACATCACAGCAATCATAAGCAGATTCATGCAGAACTTGAGAAGTTGAGTGCACGTATCACCACTACACATCAAGTCCTCCCTTACCACAGGTGCAATAAGAAAAGCCTAGAAAGTCATTTTGCTTCTTCAGCCTTATTCATTCCTACTTCCTAGCCCCACACTTTAGTGGTTGTGAATTGCAAATGCTGAAGGTCTTCCCAGGTTTCAGTGGGACAACTACAGTTTGCAAGATGGAGGACAGAGGAATTAACAACAGCAAGAACATTACCTCAGAGTCCCCCTTAACAACATGAATGTCCCCAGCCAAAGTCCTGAGGTAGTCATAGCTTTCCTTGGTGCAGAGGTTTCCTGTGCACAAAATATGCTGAATTTTCCCCGGAACCAGGAGGCTCTTGAACTTCGCTGGCAGACCACTGCATCGGTGTGGGATGTGCAGGTCTCCTAGCACTAACACCAGCTTCACACACAGCACGAGGAAAGAGAGAGTTTTAACCATATCACTCAATAGTACAAAGGCAGTTAGCAGTTCCAGTGCGCTTGATTTTTCCAACAACTTTTACAGAGGCAGCAGGGCTTTCTTCCAGAATTAGCTTCCAGGGAAGCACCCTCAACACACACAAAGAGCCCACACTGCACCCCAGGACTACTCATAATAGGACACCCCCATGGGCTCTCACCACCCAGCTGAGGGAATTCACGACCCAGTGACACCAAAGGACAGCGAGCACCACACCAAACACCACTAAAGTCCGGTCCCGGAGCCACCGCGCCAGCCCAGCAGGGCAAGGAGGCGGCCTCAAGACCCCCGCTCACCATCCTGCTCCACCACAGAGCTCCGACCAACCCGTTACCCTCGACGCGCACTACAGTAGCCAGGAAGTAGTGGGCCTCATTTTCTCCTCCCCTAGGCCAATGGCAGCTCTCGAATTGCCCCACGTGACACCGCCATACAGCTCTGGCCCCGCCCCCAAAGCCAGTCTCAGTGCGTGCCCGGCTGTGCTGCGCATGCGTAGTGCGGAGGCGCGGCCGTTGTCATCGCGTTGGGCGCGAAGCGTTGAGGTGCTGCTCTCTTCGCGCTGTGAAAGTTATCTGTGAGAATTTAATAGAAAACGCAGTACCCCCCTGCGTGACAGCGTTCGTACAAAGCGCCCAGCAATGCCCGTGCAATTACACCCGTCCTTTTCCCTCAGAAGCGGCAGGGAACCGTGAGGGGCGTGCAGACTTCTGTGAAGGGGAGAGGGGCGCGACAAAATGGCGGACGAGGGGGAGGGGGGGTGCGTGAGGCGCGACAAAATGGCGGCAAGGGGAGTGGGGGGTGCGTGAGGTCCGAGGCTATCTAGAGACTAAACAGTGTGTGAGGACAAATCTTTATTACATTTATTGTACGGATTACATTTATTACCATTATTAAACCGCGCCAGAGCCTCAGCCTGCAGGGAGGCCTTGTCCGTTTTTTCCACGGCTGCCATTCTGTCTGCTGACAGCATCACATCATATTTGTGTGGGGTGAGCTAGCTGGGTTTGCTCCCTGCTTCTACAGCCAGTTGGTGGTGAGGGGCAATGAGCAGAAATAGTGACCGTTGTCTTCCTCCTGGGCAGCAGCAATGATGAGGATGCAGGCGTTGAGGGCAAGGTCTTTGGTAGCAGAGAAGCGATCAGGAATCCTGGCGGGCTTGTGCTTGTCTCGCTCCGAGTTGTAGTAGAGCAGGTACCTTAGGGCCTGCCCTGGGCGCTGCTGGTACCAGGTGATGCCAAAGTCGCTGATGTTGTACTGGGGGCTGAGGACACAGGACAGCTGGGCAGTTTCCCCAGGCAGCACCTGCACGGCAGCTGGCTGGGTCAGCACCGGCTGGGCCCTGCAGGCTGTGCACACCAAGGATGTGGTTACTGATACGGAGCTGTGTCCTGACACCCCCAGCCTCAAAACATTCCCCTACCCCCATGAGGCATCCCCATTGCCCAGACCCACTGGTCACTCCATGCTTGGAACAAACTGCCCTTCTTAGCTGATGGTCCCCTGTGCAAAGCTCAGTCCTGCCTGCCATCCCCAGTGTCAGTGCAGCTATGCTGCTGATCTTACCTGACCCTGCTGTCCCCACCAGCAACAGGAGCATGAAGCCCAGGACCATGGTAGGATCCAGGAGCAGAGGACTGGAGGCTGTTTTGAGACAGACTGCAGTGCTGCACAAGCCCGGGCTACTGTGTGTGCTGCTTGTGCTGGTGAGGCATATGTAAATGACACAAGGGGCTGGGGGACTCCAGCTCACCACATTGCTCTATTTGCTGCAACGGAGCTTTAGCAGTCGAGCTCTAATCATTGGGGTGAGGGTCCCAATGCATCCTCACTTCCAGTCACATCCTTAGACATGCAGCCCTCCCCAGAAACAGGGTACAGAGTGGGGTCAACACTGAAACCTGATCGGCCTACCAGAGGGACGTGCTTTCAGGGGCTCTGGCTGCAGCACAATTGGTGCCCACTGCAGAAGGACTACAGATTGGAAAAGCAAAAAGCTGCCAGAGTCAACAGGGATGAAGGCCCACCTGTCTACCACCACCACAGTGCAAGAAGACTCTGCAGCCCAGCTCCCAAGGCATCTCCAAGCCCAAGAGATGATTGCAAATTCTCCACACAGCCCTAGTTGTGCTCTGGCTGTGAGGGAGGGAAAACAGAGCCATGAGATCTGGGAAGGGTCCTGTCTTGTTAGGCCACCCTGGAACTGCATCTTTGGTCCCAGAGATGGACAGGTGTGGCACAACAAACCAGACACTATGGTGACACGCTGCAGTGCTCTCAACAGGGGCTCACGTGCCCAACGGCTTATCTATTTTTTCCACCTTCTATATCAGTTTGTCTAACAAAAGCAATGACTTCCCTCTATGTGACCTTGACCAATTTTCTGTGACACAGTCTCCCTGGGGAGGAGTGAGAGAAAAACAAGAGTGAAAAGTGATGGCCGATGCTCCTCAGAGCCACTGTAACATGACCACCTCAAAGCATGGTGCGTCTGCAGCACAGGAGGCAGCAGGGTACTCCAAAGTGGAGTGGAGGCAGGGTTTTTCTGGATGCATCCCACGAGGAACAGAAATACCCAACTGGTTATGAAACACCCTGCTGAGAGCAGCAGCCTCATCAGCATGGGCACAGAGCGCTGTGGTGCTCTGCCACAGCCAGCACATATCAGAGGAAATTGTGAGGTGGCAGAGGAAACCCAAATACCACCTTACACAAAAGCAGCACAATCATCTTGATGTGATTTCATCAACCACAGAGAGATTTGATCACAAAACCAAGGTCACAACAATAGAGGCTTGTTTCGGAAGGCCTTCACCTCTTCTGCCTTGTGCCATGCATCAGCTGAGCCCAGAGGCACTGACTGATGCAGCACCACAGCTGCCGAAGCAGCTGGTTTGGCAACAACAGTGAGAATTGGTGCTTTATTCCCTGCTCCAGAATTTTGCATTATTGAGGGGACAGCGGTAAGAACAGAGACAACAGCACCTCTCCCTCCCTCCTTCAGCAAGAAAAGCTGCCATGTAGGCGTTGCTCCACCCCAAAAAACAGCCGAGCATTTCCTCCATGGGAGGAGGATGTGGCTGTGTCTGGCAGGTGGTAACAGCCCTAGAGGGTGATGCAAGATTTTGTCTGAGCTAGGCTAGATGCACAGTAGCCAAAAGCCAGTTCCACCAGGAGCCAAAACAGCCAAGTACAGCAGAAACTGAACAAACATTCACAGGGTTTGCTCTCAAGAGGATTTAATTGAACAGGAGAAACAACTGCTGAAGGAGAGAGGAGTCTGCTAGAGACCTTTGCATGATACACAATGGAGAAGAATTTATCCATGGTGCCATGAACACAGCATGTGCAGCACAGATCCCTGTGTCCTGCTGGGCCCTTCTGGGCTGTCATCTTTGTCCCACGTCCCCTGCTGCAGGGTTCCTTCCTGGGAAAGTGAGGAGCTGTGAACAAACAAAACGGCCTTGGTTACCCCATGGCAGCAGAGGAACCTCACATCTGCTGCTGTCCCACACGCAAGGCAGGAGCATGGCCACAGCTTCCTCCTCAGGGCTCCTGGCCACCAGCTCCTGTACCACTGCAGCGGGGAATCAGCAATCCCTGGGCTTTGGCTGCCTGCAGAGCTCTGTGATGCCTGGGGCCACACTCACGCTGTACTCCGTGCTGCCAGTGCTGACGTAGATGGCTTCCCTGCTCATGGTCTCCCTGCCCATGGCCTCTGAAGGCCCACAGTGGGGATGCAGTCCATCTGCCAAGGTGTTCTGTCTCCTCAGCTGGACATAACGCCTGTCTGAAACAGAGCAGAGAGGATTCACAGTTCTGCAGAAGCAGCCCATGCTGAAATAGCACAAATGAGTTATACTGCAGTCTCTGCTCACAGAGGCAGATCACAAAGGTTCTTTGCTGACAGTTTTTTCCCCGCTATAAAGGTCCGCTTTACTCCTTCTTACAGTCCAAAGGCAGTTCCTTTGGCTGAATCCTGCATCATGCTAACTGCCAAAAGACATTTTACCAGGGCTTGGAGGAGCCTTCAGCCTCCTGCTGCACTCCTCCCAGTGACAGCACGGGAGAGCAGTGACCTGATGATGTAGTGCCACCCAGATGAGTCACTGCTGTTCCCAGTGCATCACACCTGGCTGAGACCACAGGGCATGCAGTGAGGTGTCAGCAGAGGGCAACATAAATCAGAGGAGGGATTGGACCAGGCCATGCTGCTGAAGAGCCAGCATTCTCACAGAGCTGGCCACTGCCACTGTAAGGTGTGAGGTGTTGTCTGGGTGGAGATGTGTTCCTTGCCCAGTATTACTTACACAGAACATACAAGCACGGAGCAATCGCAGCAAGCGCAGCGCTCCTCAAACACACCAGCAGGACAGATGAAGAGCCTAGAAAGGAGAACGCAAGCTGGTACTTGTGCTGCTCATATTGTAATATCTACTGGGATGTGCAAACCTGCAAGTGGGTTTGTGGTTTCAGTGAAAACGCAGCAGGCTCTGACCTCTGCAGCTCAGAAATGTGAGTAAGACACTGAAGAAAAAAAGGCTAACAACATGGAGCAGGCAGGCTGTGCCCATCCTGTCATGCAAGGTGCTTCTCTCAGCATGAGGATGCAGAAAGAAGAACACAAGGAACCAGCCTAACTTTTAAGAATGTCTTCTGAAATATGAGTCGCATTTCTTTTGGCTCCAAATCAGCACAGACATGGCACGTCCCACAGCTCAAGACAGGGTCATGTTTTGTCCTCACATCATATGTTTATCAGGTGAGTCATGGTGAGCCCAAATTACTGTGTAATCTTAACTAACCGTGTTAATTGGCCGGGCCGGGTTTTGTGACTGAGTTACACTGGATAAAAGATGCTTTGCACACTAAACTGCATGCATTAAAAATCTATGTTGTCATTAGGTACAGATTAAATTTGTTCATGGAAGAGTCACATCACCAGCGATCAACAGCTTTTACAGATAACATCTGCAGCAACAGGCACATAACCTCGCAGATGAACTTCTGTGGTTGTGTGGGTGCTTTAAATATATCTGTGCATCTTGCACTGATGTTCTGTGACTTTGCAAAGCCTTGCCATTGCACCATAACAGCAGCTTGTACTTTGGGCTGCCAGCCCCTTCAGGCAATGCAGGTACAAGTGTGCTGCAGATGCAGCTCCAGCTCTTGCCTACCTGCACTCCCCCAGCTCCCCAAACAGAGTGGTGGCAAGGTGAATGAGGAGCACCGTGCACAGTAAGATGTGTCCTAGATGAGAAAACTCACACCCATCCTGTCACTGAACCCATAGATGAGATGGAGTGACTGACATAGAAAGGCTAAGAGGCACAGAAGGATTTTCACTTGCCCCATGAGGTCCCTGGAAACACACTCACCTTTCACAGTGAGGTTGGTTCCCCTCCCTCTCTGCCCGCCAGACGGCTCTCCCAGGCCTCTCTGACACTGGTACCAGCCACTGTCCTTCTCTTCCAACCCAGTAATGGTGAGACGGCTCCGGTGATTTTCCAGATCTAATGAGCTCTGGAAACGACTTCCAATGCTGCCGTTCTCAACCTGGAAACTGGACCTGAGGTGCCATGCTATGAGTCGGGATGGGCTCTGGTCTCGTTTGTGCAGCCAAAAGAGGTCTGTGAAGTTGCCAGTCAGGTTAGTGGGGAAATCACAGTCCAAGGTGACTTTACTGCCCTGAATTGCAGAGTAGCTGAGGCCCCCAGGGGCCGCCCAGGGCTGCTGACCTGCAAAGAAAAGAGGTTCATAGGGGTGGCCAGGTCCCTTGTCCACCGAGCTCAGTTCAACAGTGCTAACACTTCCCAGGGGCTTTGTGAAACCACTCAGACTGGAGAGGAGCACAGTTCTGAGGGACACAAGAGTGCGGTGTTGAAAGAAGGAGCCGGACTCACCTCTCACGAGCAGGAAAATCATCTTTGTAGTCGGATCGCTGTTCCCTATCTTCACATAGCAAAAGTAAGGGCCAGTGTCATTCATAAGCACGGTTGAGATGTTGAGAAAGCTCACACTGCTTCCAAAATCCAGAACGCCGCTGAAGCGGCCTTTGCTGTCATACACACAGGACTGATTGGACCGTGTCATCCTAAATTGCAGGACCCTTCTCAAGTCATTCCTATGGCTCCAGAGGATCTCATAGAAGGGATTGCTAGTGCTGTTGTACTTGTGGAAAGGACACTCCATCGACACGGGCTCTCCTACTGTCACAAGAACCACTTGACTCTTGAGAATCCCTGAACCTAAAACAGAAAATAAGAGCTGGAAATCTGTCCTGAGCTCCAGTTCCTGCTCCTGGGCAGGGAACAGTCACTCTCCCTCCATTCCACACCATAGTGATTGCTTCAGCTATTGTGCAAGTGCCCCTTGGTGCAGGCCTGACAGCTGCCCCACCACCTTCATCTCTCTGGGGGTTCACAGGGCACATGGAAGCCCTGACTGAAATTCCTAGCCCTAATCTTCTCTCTCTAGCTCCAGACAGAGCCACAGGAAGCCTGGGAATCATCTGCATGCTCAGTGGTCCCTAAAGCCTCAGGACCCCTCCCCAGTTACTGTGGCCTGTGCATTCCCACTCAGAAACAACAGGAAGCATTGCTGAGCACAGCTCCTACCCAGCGCTACCAGACAGTAATGACTCTGCTGAAGGTAAGATTTCAAGAGATGAATAAGCAGTGGGGAAGCAGTAGGGAACATTTCACCCCAGGGACTGTCACAACCTCGCAGTCTTATTTTCTTTTTGGCTATTAGCACACTAGATCATGTCCAACAAACGCATGTTCTCAAGCTCCTGCACGTTAAGTGCCACTGGGTGTTTCTGTCCATCTCTCTGTTCAGCATCCAGAAACTTTTTCAAAATACATCAGGAGCTGTTTGTTCTTTTTTGCCTTGATTTCAGTAGGCTCTGAAGAGACCCGGCCTAACGGGATCACGAGCAGTGCGAGGGAGTAATGGTTTCAAAGCAACATCCACCCCAAAAAAAACCCAAACCAGCGAAAGGGCTGAAGTGGGACAGTCCCAGTGCTTCCCACCAGGGAGAGAGAACAGAGCAGGCACTTACCCCAGGACAGGAGCAGCAGGGTGAGGAAGGCGAGCAGCACATAGGAGAGGGTGAGCGCCATGCCCTGCCGGCAGCGGAGACAGGAGGCAGCCCCTTGTTTTTCACCTCGCACAGAAGTACCGCCCGCACAGCGCGCAGAACGGTGTGAAACAGCTCCACCAAGAGCTGTCAGCACCAGCCGGCCTCATCCTGCAGCATGGCTTTGTCCGTGTCGCGTCGCTGCTTCAGACCGCATCCAGGGGGCGGGAGGCTGCAGGCACCACCATGCTGGGGTCTGCCCAGTGGCGTGGGGTCACTCGAGGCCTCTCAGCTAAAGAGGGGCCCCGGTCTGTTCCCTGCATTCAGAAGTAGGAGAAAAGCCTGTGAGCAGGCCGCTACGGCCCTGGAGGCAGGGGCAAAGCTCCTTCATAATGCTTCACCATCTGCTCCACCTTCCCACCAAGCTGCCTTCAGCACAAGGCTGAGGCCACAGGACAGGGCGCAGGGCAGGGGTGCTAATGCTGGAGCAAGGGGGCAATTTCCTTTAATAAGCAGCTTTTTATTTACAGGAACATGCTCTCTGTGCTTGTTCTGCTTACTCCAGGGACTCTCCAGACACATGCTGCTCCCTAAATCACCTCCCTGAGAGCAGAAATACCAAGCGCTAGCACGGGAACTGTCCTGGTGCCTTGGAACGTGGCCCAGGGGAACCCAAACAACCCTCCTTGTCCCAGTCATCCACTGGCTCACATGTGAGTGCTCACAAGACCTGTGCTGTACCACCCGAAGGGGAAAGATGAGTCCTCCATAGCCTGGTACAGCAGCAGCTGCTGCAACCTGCAGCACAGTGAGGCATCACTTAAAACGGATGTGAGCACTCAGATGTTTGATCTGGAAACCAAGGTCACAGGAAAACAAGGTTTTAGGCTAGCCCAGTAGTGAGAGCTGCAGCACCACCAGCCCCAGTTCTGAGGCTACTGCTAATCAGCCTTACGCTCTGCTCTGTGGTTTCACAGTTCCTCGTGGGAAAAGTGAGATAAACAGAGCGGTGAGCACAGCTCTGCCCACATGCACCCTCTGCACCCTTTCAGGGCCTTTCTCTGTGTGAGGAGGGGAGATGTGGAGAAAGGCAATTTGTCCATGGCCCTGTGACACAGCACAGCTCTGCAGATCACTCCCTGGAACGGCATCAGTACTGGTTCCCACCATTCAGGTGCTCTGCAGCCAAGCTGTGGGACAGGATTTCACCTGCACATCTTGGCATCTCCACAGGAAAAGGGGATGATGCTACAGCACCTGCAAGCACTGCTGGGGAAACATCTATATGGCAACATCTGGAAACTCAGTGGAAGATGCAGCTGCTGCACATTTTGTTACTTCCACCTCCTGCAGGACGGCGCCCAGCATGAGCAGCCCACACATCTCTGGCAAGTGCTGTGTGTGTTGTGTTTGCTCGCAGGCAGTGTACGTGGGGAAAACACCGGCTTTGATTCAGCTCTTGGTGCCTGGCAGCAGCCCGCTGGAGAGGGAACTATGTGCACAGCAGTGCAGAGGTCAGGGAGTAGGGCATAAGAGCTCTACCAGAGCACATCAGCATCCTTTATCTATTTATTTATTATAAAAAAAAAGTATGATGGACACATTTAACCCCTGCACGATGTCACACAGGAAAGCCATGCCACAGAGTTAAGCTACCTGCAGGAAGGGAGGCCGAGCAAGGGGTTGGTTACTGAGCAGCAGCCAAGATCGTGAGTGGTGGAATGCCCTCAGGTTGTCCCCACTGCACATTTCCAGCCTTGCAGCTCTGAGATCTTGCCAGCGGGGACTTTGCTGGTCTGAACGGAGCCAAAAAATCACTGGGCAGTGACAGCTGCCAGCACAGCACCTCTGCTCCCGGGTTCATGGGAGGGCTCCCCTTGCTCTACTCCTGGCCCTCAGCTTTGGAGTGCAAGCACATGCAGCAGGGGAAGGAACGAGCAGGCTGTGCTGACATTCCCACACTTGGCAGGCAGCCTTTGCCTGACCTGAAGCACTCACTGCTGAAGCTGCCAGATGCACGTGGTCCAAAGCTTTTGCTCCCTCTGCTATTTGAGCTGGATGCCCAGCACTGACTGCTGACGTTGATCAGCCCTGGCAGTTTTCTGTAGTGACACTGGGTGAAAGATCATGGCCAAAACATCCAGAATGACTCAGCTGAGATTTAACTCCTTCCCCTTGTGACCTGGACAAGTTCTTGGAAGCGGAACAGCAAGAGACAGGGCTCTTAGATATTTCCTACTCTGATTTAAGGAGACCAAGTTAAAGGACGTAGGTATTTCACGAAGCAGAATAGTTTTGCAGAATCAGAATGCTCATCCCAGCTCCTAAGCTGAAGCATTTCCAGCATCACCCACCGGCAGGATGGCCTGTAATGCTGCAGCTCAGAGTGCTGCTGAAAGGCCATGCAGGGACCTCAGCTTTGCTGGCTGCGACCAGGCAGCTCCCAGCTGTGTTGGTGGGGGCCTGGATCCAAGGCAATCACACAGATCTCATTCTCTGCTTACAGCCAACTGCCAGGAGGTGGTGAACCTGCAGTGCTGCAGCCTGATCCTCACTGCTCACCTGAAGAAGTGCCAGTTTGGGACAGAAGGCACCAATGTAAGCAGTGATCACTGCCGGGACAGACATTCTCCCTTAAAGAAGCAGCCAAGGGTAACAGGTTGCATGAGAGTTGCAGGCTATCCCAAAATGCAGATAAAGCGTACCTCCCCCCTCTAGACCTCAGTACATCCTCTTTGTAGCTCTAATTTGCCAAGGAAATACCTCTGAACCTTCTTCACCACATCCCTCTCTGCAGACTGTTTTGATCTTGTAGGTGATGTGGGGTGCAGATGAACTTGAGCAAAGCAGAAAACACCACATCTGAATTTGCCAGTAAGCTGTGAAAGGCAGTGCTGCATCCTCACCAGAGATGTCAGCTCTCAGCAAGGTGGCACAGCTCAGCCACTGCACCATGAGGGGTCTGCTTCAGAGTGGGCAGCGTTGCACAGCATTTCAGGTAACTCCCACACACCAGGGAAACCTCATCACCACCTGGAAACCATGATGCAGCTTTCAAGAGGGCTCTCAGCCAGTAGTTATTGGCAGGCTGCACAGAAACAAGCTCACATTAAAAGCGTCTGAGGCAGGGAACTTCTCACAACACAGCCTCCCGTCCCATTTACAAGCGTTGAGTTCAGGTTTTAGTGAAGAGATTAATTCACTTTTCCTATTCTGTCAGGAAGAGAAAGCACTGCAGCTATCTGCTATGAATCCTTACTGGGGAAGGAGGGGAAACACTACTCTGAGCTAGCAGGCAAGGGCCAGGCACCCATCTCATCTCCATGGGAGCTGATGGTGCAGGCATAGCTCCCCTCACACACCACCCATGGGACAGCCCTGCTCCACATCACAGCCCTCTGCACAGCTCCACGGCTGTTCTGGCTCTAACAGGTGAATTCAGGCAGCAGCCAGAGCTGCAGTGCAGAACTGAGGTTGGCTGTCTCTCAGAAGAGCACAAGGCACCACTGGGAGAGGAGAGGGGCAGCTCAGGACACCGTCTACTACCAAGCATCTAGGCTCTGACATTTGAAAGGGGCAGCACCTTCAAACACTGCAGCCAACTTGAAGTATCTCCATCTGGCCTTCTTCACAACTCCGAACTCCAGCAAGGCCCAGAAATTGCTCAGCGTTCAGCAGCTGGAGGTCAGCAGAGTTTCCAGATCCATTCTGACGTGAAAGCTCACAGGTCAAGTATTTGAAATTGTTACACTCTCACTGCTGTGTAATAAAGAATATGGAGTGATCTCAGATAAGAACCAGAATCTCCCAAAGACAGCATGCAGGCAGCAGTAATGAGACTTGTTCTGCTGCCACGACTGTAAATAGAAAGCAGCCCTGAACTCCGCTCGATGCTGATGACCTTGAGAACATTGCATAACACACTAAGCAAGACCAGCCAAACACATCCCAGTCACACCTTGCCAGCTCGTCAGAACAGCTCTTCAGGAAGGTTATCCATGCAAACACTTCTGAAGCACTGCAGGACATCTCCTATCACCTTTCCAGCCTCTGCTCTGTCTGCAGCACTGCCAACCCCATCTCAGCTGTGCTACCTACTTTCACCAAGTCACACAGGTACAGTTCCAGCTGGGCTGCAGCTCCTGTCTGCAGAAGTTACACAAACATGTGCCTCGCCCTGTAAGCAGGTAACAGGTAATATTCAGCTAGCTTGATTTCAGCCGTCGTGTTAAATAAGGAACATGCACAGGTAGTACTTCCAAATAAGCTTCTTTATTTCTCCATGATAAATAGAGCACTAATTTCCACAGCCTCAACTGTTCTTTTCCTTCCCTACTAGTCCAGAAGTGAAGGACCACTAGAGGGCTCTTCTCCCAGCCGTTCCCTCAGCTCAGCACCTGTCCGTCCTTCCTTCACTCCCTGCAGGCAACACGGCTCTACACCAGCTCTTCTCCTTCCTACAGGGGAGCAGATTCTTCACAGGAGAGAAGAAACACCTGCAGGGGAGAAAGCACAAGGTCAGCAGCAATTAGCAAGTGCTCTCCAACATAAGTAGATCAGCCTAAGGTGAGACACAGTCACTGAAATCTGCCAGTAACAAACTCAGAAGGCATTAGGAAGCAGTGCACTAACAGCAGCATGGTTCTCAGGGCAACAAGAGGAGAGCACCTGTGTGACCCCCCCCGAGGGGCAGTGAGGGCAATCCCCTGCCCTTCCCAGCTCCCTGCAGCATTCCAGGGCACAGGAAGGGCACTCACAGGGCAGAACCACTGCCAAACAGAAGGCCTGAGGCCACACAGCAGGCTGCTCAGCAACCTTCGCGCCCCCTCAGCCCCTGTCCTGACAGCAGCCCCCCATCGGGGTCAGCACGCGCTCACCGTTGCTGTACTTGCACTGTTTCAGGGCCTCGCTGAAGCCCTCGCACAAGGTCAGGTCCTGCTGGTTGGTAGCGCACTCCAGGAACTGCTTCATCTCGTAGTGGCACGGCCCGTACGGGGACTGCGGCTGTACAGCGGGCTGCTGCCGGGGCTCCTGCGGGCGGGCGCGACGCGGTGAGCCGCAGCTCCGGGCTCTCAGGCCGTACCGCAGCGGCGCGGCCCCGCACAAGGGCGGCACAAGGTCACCCCGCCCGCCGGCCCGGCTCCTACCTGCGCGGGCACCGCCGCTCTGGGCGGTTCGGAGGAGCCGCTGAAGGCTCCGGTGAGGGCGCTGCCCACGACGTGTCCCACGGCGGAGCCCACGGCCACCCCCGCCGCCGTGCTCGCCATCTGCGCCATCAGCCCGGGCTGGGCCGGCTGCGCCGCCGGCACCGGGGCCGCTGGGGCCGCGCTGCGGAACAGAGCAGAGTCAGAGAGCCGGGCGGACACGAGCGGACAGACAGTCCCTCCCGTCCCAGCCCGTACCTGGCGGGTGCCGGCGGCGCCGCGGGCCGCGACCTGCTGCTCCGACCGCCCCGCGCCATCCCCGCTACGTTCTGCCCAGGCGCCCACGCGCGCCGCCTTAAGAACGGCCCCTTCTCCCACGTGACTCCTTGCGCACGCTCACTGCCGTCGTCCGAAGCCGTCGGTCCCGAGCGGCGCCGCCTGGGCCCCGTCCGGCCCGCCAGGGGGCGCTGCCGCTCTCGGGCTCAGGCATCGCGGCGCCCCCTGGCGAACAGGGAGGGAGCTGCAGGCGCTGCCGTCGGTGTGGCCTCACCCGCAGCCGCCCGGCAGCCCGCAGCGCGGGGCCGGCCCTAGGCTCGTTCCCCAGGCCGGCACAGCCCACCCCTTCCGCACAGGCACGCTGCTCAGCCCCCGACGTGCTGCAGCTGCCCCTGTGGGAAAGGCCCATGGAGATGTAGCCAAGCCTTCTGTGCTGACGGGCGGGCATGCAGCACAGGAGGATACATTTGTGTGATGGCATCTGCCTCCACAGAGCCACTGACCGCAGCTCTGTCTGCTCCGTGACCCGGTTTGACTTTGCAGGAGCAGAGCGTGAAGGGGCTTGCTGGCAACGGGCAGTGGAGCCGGGCTGTGCTGCATGAGAGGCGGTGGGCGGAGGAGAGGTGGATAATGAAGGGCTTGGAAAGGGGAGAGGAGCGGTCTGCAAATGGGGCAGAGAGAAAGGGAGCCAGGGAGGAGAGCGGGGAGCAGTGATGTGGTCTCAGCCACTGACCAGCACAACAGTTTTCACAGCAGCCCTCTGGATACAAACCAGCAGATCAAGGAAACCTCTGAAGGCGTGGACGTTGCTGGGAGGTGGGAACGCACCGAGACACCCAAAGGGAGCCCTCAGATCACAGACAGACGGGCTGGCAGGAGCCAGCTTTACCTTCAAACCGATCTGCTGGTAATCACACCCAGCTGGGCTCCTGTGTCTCTGCAGGTCTGTGGCTGCTCCCAGGCCTGGTTCCCTGCTGCATCTTTGGATGCTCCTTCTGCCCTGTGAGTGAAAGAAATTCCCAAAATTGACATGGATCCAGAAGTTGTGCAGGGAAAAAAATACCTCAGCTGTGTTATGGCTCCAGGGCTGCGTTCGTACATTCAGCAACTTAGAAAAAGCAGCTCCTTGGGCTGGTTCACTGACCGGCAGGAATTAGAGCGCCCAGCCACTGCAGGGTTGGTAATTAGCTGCTCTGAAAGTGTTTTTGTAGAATCAAGTTTCCAGCATGGGGGGAAGAGAGAAGTGTTTGTAACGCAAGCCACCCCTGCACTGCAGGAGCAGGGCAGACAGGGCATGCAGGGGGAGGGATGCAGCTCCCACACTTCCAGCAAATGGATTTGCCTGAAAACAACTTTTGTCTCCTCTTCTGTGCAGACAGCACCCCAAAATCCTTCCTCCTGCAGCGTCAGGAAGAGCTCTTGCCCTGGCAGCAGTGCTGTGCTCCACGCAGAGCACAACACGTCTCATCCCAGTGAGAGCAGCAGCGTTTTGCATTCAGCATTTCCCTGTCTTTCTCCCACTGATGAACAGCAGAGAGAGGCAGACAGCTGGCAAACTGGCAGAATGTAACCGAAAAGCCACTGCAAGGCAGCACCGCACCTATCTGCCCCCAGCCCCATTTCCCATAGCCCTCCTTCATCCCGCAGCCCTCTGGGCAGCCCCATGCCTGCTGCTGAGGGGGAGCAGAGGCCCTGAGGGCCTGAGAAGAAAGGGCTTGTGCTGGGGGGACGAGGGGACTGTGGGGGCGTGGGGAATGCAAGACATCCAGCCATAGGAAATCAAGGCTTGTTGGTCCCACCACACACACAGCAGCTCGCTGAAGGCGTCTGGCCTTCAAGCTGAGGGCATCTCTGTAAGCTGTGTCTCCGGGACCCTTTGATTTGGTTAATTAGACACAAAGCTGTTCTGTGCTGTGGGAGGAAGGTATGCGCCGAGGAGCCCGGCTACCGCCGCGGTGCTAATGAGGTAATTTAGTGTGGCTGTCTGAGACGGCTCAGCGTGCACAGCCCACAGCCAGCAGCACCACCAGCTCTGTTTGCTCCTGCTGTGGCAGCCGGCTGCACCAGCACTGCACTGCATTGCCCCACGCAGAGCTGGTGTGTGCAGCCCGGCTCTGTCTGCAGCAGGCCATCACCCCAACAGAGACCAAACTTCCTACTGCCTGTTTTTCAGTCCAAATGTGATCTTGTTCCATAGCCTTGTATCTGCCTCTTTCCCTTCTGCTCTGTAAGATTCCTCCTTACATGATAATTCAAGTGTTAGGGCTTGCCTACACTTAAAATTCATTTTGGATGAGGAGACCTATAAATCTGAAAGACAGCAGTTAATTTCTGAATAGTTCTGGAACGATTTACCCCAAACCAATTCTTTCTGAGTAACTCAGCGCTGGGCTGTGCGTCCCTTCCAGGTAGCAGCAGGATCAGTAAGATGAGGTTTGCAAAAAGTGGGTCCATTTTTCCCACTGCTCTCTTGGTCTAAAAGCAGATAATAATCTCCCTTTGCAGAGCCCGCCTCACTTAAATCCTCACACTGTCACCACCAAAATGTTGCTGCAGAGACCTCGGAATTCCCCGAGCATTTGATTTCAAGGGGTTGTTTCACAGGTAAGGAATGCAACCCTCTGCCTCCATCACACATCTCCTTCCCCCCACCCGCGGACAGCCAGCCGCTCTCCCTGCCAGGCTGCAGCCCTGCTGAGGGGCTCGGTGCCACCCGCAGCTCCCAGGCAGCCTTACCCAGGCTCTGCACGCAGCCCTTCCTTCCATCCCTGCCCCATGTCGCACTGAGCGGATGCCTACGGAGCCTCCCCAGCTGCACGTCTGCGCTTGGAGCGCCCAGCTACTGCGTGCATGGGCAGATCTGGGCAGCGCTGTGGCTGTGCCTGCATTTGCGTTGTCTGCGTTCACAGCGAGCGGCGCAGAACGGCTGCTGGGGGATCTGGGCAAAGCGTTCAAAGGAAGGGAAAGCATCGGGTGGATTGGCCAATGTTTGTGTTGTGGATGGTCCCAAAAAAGAGCAACAAAACCTCCAGTCCTTACCGATGTGTTTGTTACTCAAAATTACCCCGTGAATCACTTGGGACTAAGTACGTGTTGCAGTTTCTCATGTCCTGTTTGTGTTTTTGAGCCCTGGCTGCCCCTAATTTTGCTTGTGCTGAGTGGTTGAGTTCAGTCTTCCAACTCCATACAGAGCACCACTCTTTTATCCTGTGAAGTTTTCTGCAAGCAGAACTTGCAACCAACAAAACAAAACCAGGGAAGCTGCCGCCACTAAAAGTAACTTAGATTTTTCATGAGTAAACGGGCACATTTCTGCAGCACTCACTGCTGGCTCCCCCAAGGGACCACGAAGCTGTGATGTCAGAGACACACTGCAACTCTACAGCTGATGTTTGCTCATCAGAGATGGGAAAGGGAGGACTTAAGGAGCGTCCAGCCGGAGGAGCAGCGGGTGGCTGGATGTGGCTACAGGGGAAGCAAAGGCAGCGCTACAGAGCGCAGTTTCATCTTTCAAGTCTTGTGCTCCCAAGATCTACATGCCATTTCTTGGATGTGGTTTGCCCTGAGGGCAATCTCAACAGCTGTGAAGTTTCAACAGATGAACGGCGTAGTTTTCAATACATTTCACAAAGCAATTAAATGGTTTTAACTCATTCGTGTGTGTCCACTTCTGGTATCAAGGCTCTTCCTAATGCTAATCCATCAATGTCACAAGTGTTTCCCACTGAACTCCAGGGCCTGGCTGCTGGAGAACATCTGA